TACACATATATTTATATATTATTAAATAGAAAGATAGGACAAAAAAGAAATAACGTGTATCATAATTCCTTGTTAAACTCTAAAACAGTATAAAATAAATATCATTAGAATATTAAAATATTATAATTATGTTAATTTATTTTTAGATAGAAAAGTATTTATAATTTTCTAATCGTTAAAATCCGAGAATCCATTAAATACGAGCGTATAATTCAAAATTCTATAATTATTCATAGGCAAACATATATTAGATATATTGCAAAGTGAAAATTTCAATACTATTCTATATAGTAGATTCCTAATTATCATTTGGAAGTACGTCTATTTGCTTCGGCAAATGCCATCGAACGCTGAAAGTTTACTGGCAGAAGCTTATGAATATGGAACGCGTATTCACGAGATATTAATTAGTAAACCAATTTTGTTAATCATATACGTTGGTGCCTGATAATTCTATAGGTCTATAGGTCTATTGACATACGTAAACTCGTACCATTCGATCGAAAGGCAAAACCAGTTTATTCCACTGTTACAATAAAACGAATTTTATTTTGCATAAATTTCTTGCAAAGTTTATTAAATTAATCTACAAATTGTTTGTCCAATATGCGTAAAAGCTTCAGAATCTTTTTTTTCCATTTTTATTCGTCTATCAATCATCGTAATTCCTGTAATAAATGTGTATGAAAGTAATATAAAGTCGTAATAAAATATCGATTTTAGCAAACACTTTATGAATCATTTTATTACAAAAAATTTCATTTTCAATAAAATTAATAAAATATTAAAATATTGCAATATGTAAAATCACATAATAATTTATAACAGACTGATATTAAATTTTAAAACTGCAGCATTAACAAATTATAAAGAAAGATAAATGTTTAAATTTTTTAAATAACGTTGTACATCTTTGTCGATATTACTTTCGCAAAAAGACAGCCGTGTTACATTTCTTCAGGGACGAGCGGTGAAATGTGTGTGTTCTCCGAGAATGAAAGTTTTCCGCTTTGCGCAAAAGCGCAAATAAAATGTTCCGCGTACTTTCCGTTCAAGCACAATGTCACTCGTAAATCCTTCAAAAATTTAACGCAAGATACGGCTGTGGCCATTCCGCGTACCAAGTGCCGCAGGTGCCGACTTCCTTTCCGCGAGGCCGTAAGGTGGAAGGAATGAAGGTAGGCAGAGAGAAATGAGGCATCTCGTCCGTAGTCCTCTAAGTTTCTTATTTACATTAATTACACCCGGAGAAGTTTCTATCTTGGCCGAGAGAAGACAGGAGGAAGCGCGTAGCGTGGGCCATTGCTTGTTTTGCAGCAGCGGCAATTATTTTTCGCAGTCAGTAAATATGATTAATCACGAGGGATTAAAGATGAAACAAGTCCCGACGTCGGCCAGAACAAATTGTACTCGTTGAAATATCGAGCGGCGTATGTTCACGTTCGCATTGTTTATCTTTACAGAACATTCTCCGAGGAAGTGCATATGAAGAGAATTTAATTAAATTAATTGAAACAAGATACACAAGATGAATTACAACTAGGTTCGAAATGGCGTATTTGTGGATCGCGTATAGATTGAATTACGTTACATTAAATACAATTCTATTAAAATTTAGGGGATATTTAGAGTATCCATTAAATTTCATTAAGGTTTAATTAAATTTAATTGCAGAACACATATTTGTATACATCGAGTTTAATAAAATCTTAAATACGGATTTGAAATGCAAATTAAAATTTAAAATAATAAACAGTCACAAGGTAAATGATGTGCGAATAATTATAAAATAGTGCAGAAACTGCTTATTGGAATATTTTCATAATTTATTTCACAGCTTTTCAACTTATCATTAGAGAAAATTACACGATTAATACACGTCCCTAATGTTTCTAAGTAATTTATCGTTTGTATTATTTAGAGAAATTATGATTACTGTGCTGCATCGTTTTATGATAGATGTAATTATTTCTAATATTTTTCTAAGGTGTAAAATATTATTTCAGATTGGAGTTGAATACCATCCATAACAAATGGTCCGATCTGCATTCATCGAGAGACTAGGATCTACCATCATCTCTCTGGACCATCATCTACCGGTCGTGGGGATTCGAGAGAATATACATGTATATATGTATATTGTGATATATGTACATACGTATCACTGTATTGTTGACGTGTTATTCTAAACGCGTTATTTGCGATAAATATCATCATATGCCTCTGTAATCGAAAGGATAAAATATCTGCCCGGTAAGCAGGAGATTCAGGTTCGATTCCCGGCTGAAGTGGTATTTTTTTCGCAAAATAATTACAAGTTTTCACGACTGGTTCGTGGTTGGGCCCCGCCGCGGCACACTCTCCCTTCTTATTTGGGATTATGTGACTATTATTATTGTAGATTGCATTATATGATGTACATGTCATATTTGGAATACAAATTATTGTTATGACTAGAAAAAAATTATCAAAAGCGTTACTCCTACACAAGTGACGTTATCTTTTGTAATTACTCACAATGATATTTAATCAGTTTTAGACATTATCTAATATTAGAATTTCTTGTTTTTGTTAATATTAAATAAATATATTATATATTAATATATGTTATACATTATTAATAAAACTTTTTTATTTTGCAAAATCATTGGATTAATTAATTTCTTTTTATAATCAAAAACATTTTGTTTAGAAAATTATTATACAATTTTCTTATTCTTTATCCTATCTTATTTTACACATGTTATACATTTATTTTATATTAATGTTACAGTAATATAATTTTTTAGAATTTTACATAAAATGAAATATAACAATTTTTGTTCAATTTGCAGAAACATACTAATAATTCAGAATTTGTGCCAATAAATATTGAATAAAAAAGAATTAAATTAATTAAATTTCTGTTTCTCATCCATTTTCATATTAGCTATTTTACTATTTTACTATTTATTTGTCTATTTTCATTCGGCTCTTCTTCCTCTTTCGTTTTTATCACAACAGCCAAGTACCTCAATGCTCATATTGATATAAACGGCCGAAATCCCGGGATATCTTTTATTCTTCAAACGTCTGTAAAAGTTGACACCAAACGATTTCGCTGCAGATTGAATTTCGTTAGCGGCCGCGACCATTGTCACTGCAGATTGCATTGAACCAAATCAATGTAGTCACACATATTGGTTGACTCGAGCTGCAATATCTTGAAAAAAAGTTGTCACATCCAGCAACAGAAATTATCTGTTCCGAATAATTGACTTTCACGAGGATATAAATAGAAATAAATTGAACGTATAACCAACAATAAAATGTGAGTATATACTTATATTAAATTTATTTAAATATATATTTTTAATCGTGAAAAATAAATGATACTGATTTTGTTTTTATTGCTGATTACAGTTTTTATTGCTAATTTTAATTAATTTTTCATCTATATTTTTAGATATGATGAAGTCACAATTCACCATATTGCTATTCTCTCATGCATATATTTAACAGCAAATAAATAATTAGATATTTAAAGCATGTATAATTCTTCATTTATATTAAACCTTTCACAAACTGAACGTTTCGGTATGTAGCGAGTTTGATACAGATATTCATATTCCACTGTCGCATTGCATTTCGAGTTCATCTCCATTTGAGTTGTCAAGCTATTATATAGGATAATTGTGTGTTTCTCATATCGTCGTTGTTTTACGAATATATGCGATTTAACTCGGTAGATTGCACATC